TGCGGCGTAGCTTGCAGGAGAGCTTCTGGAGCACGCCCCGCACACGTCCCACGCACACGGGCACCTTAGCTGTGTAAATCGGGTCCCTGCTGACGGAGCCAGCTTGAGTTCTCAGGGCATTGCTGAGCGAGATCCTGGTCACAGCGGGCAGGATTAGTGATTCCTCAGAGGACTCCGGGCTCGCAGTGTGCCATAGATTGCTTCGGATGTGGATGGTGAAACTGCAGGACTTACTGTTTGCTCCTCTAGATTGTGAACTTGCTTTGGTCTCAGTGCTTTGTATGCCTTATTTGTACCTTTGGAATGGTAGTGTTTTATCTTGTGCCACTGGCTGTGGGAAGTGTTTAGCTTTCTTTTATTTGGGGGCTCACAGTCAGAGCTTGCCTTAAATCTTGGAAGAGACTTGGGCCTTGGACTTTTCAGTGATGCTACAATTGTTAGGACTTTGGCAAGTTTCACAGATGGAGTAAAATTAACCTTTTGCATATAGTAATGTACATGAGTCTCTAGGGGCCCAGGGGACAAATGCAATGGTTTGTCTCGAGTTGTGCCCCCAAAGCCTAATGCAGTTATGGGGAGGACTTTTAGAGTTCGTGATTAATTCATAGTCCAGTGCTGGGATTATGGGTGTAAATCCTGCTGGGACTGTGGGTATAACCGCTGTACCTGGCCTGGGGCGGATAGCCTGAATGCAACCTAAGGGAGACAGGCTGGCTCTCTGTTGCCTTTGTTGCTGCGCCTCCTCCCTTTTGCTCTTGATGTTTTGCTGTTTTCTGCTGCCATGAACTGCTGCGCTCTGTCATTTGACACTCTGCCTTGGAGCCAGCTGAGTATGGACTGAAATCTCAGCAATTGTGAACTAAATAAACCTTTCCTTCCTTAATATTGGGAGTAGGGCATTTGATCCCAGCAGTGAGGGAAAACTAGCTGAGACAGTTGTTCTGCAGTGACTTTAGGTGAGAGCTTTTTTTTGTGTTTTTAAGAAAAAGATTATGTATTTAGGACAGGAGTTACAGGGTCTCAGAGCACAGATCAGACTCATAGTGGTCCTCCTGTTTTCAGGCTCCCAAGCTCAGAGATTACAGGCACATGCCTCCATTCCCAGTCTCCTTACCATCTCATTCTGCCCTGGGGGCAGGGCCCAAACCCCAGTCCCTGTGCTCTGCTAAAGCAGGTGCTTTAGTCTACTGAACTATCTGGCTGGCCCTGAGTTGTTTTTTGTTTTGTTTTTTAATTTTATCACACTGACTTTAGAACTTAAGTGGATATATTTAATATATTCCCTTTTAGCTTTCTTACAATGAATTTCAAGGTCACTCTAACTGAGCAGATGA